ACTAAACACCTTATTTATGATTTTTCCCTAATTGTTATTTATACGAATTCCTCCATTTCTTTCTTCCACAACCCAATTCCATGAAAGAAACAATAAAAGGTGTTGGAAAAAATTGACATGCATAAATTATATTCAAAATAATCTTTATTGATAAATAAACAATTGGGTAGAATTTTGAATTACAGAAAGAACATAATAAAATAGAATTTAAAGGAGTTCTACTATTTCTTCTTAAAACAATAATACCTCACACTGGTGTTGACAGTCTTCCGACACTTGTCTCCCAAGATACAAGAACTTCGACTTATAATAGTGGCACTTCAAATTATAAGACCGATGATCTTAACAATATTTTGATCTCTTTAAAACTATAGAATTAAAATGCATAAAATATTTTTGGGTATTGAAATGCAAAATGCGAAATGGTTCTGGAAGAGAAGGAGAATTATTTTGTAAGAGGAAAATCTGAATCAGATTTGGAATGAACAAAATCCAACATATGAAGGCCTATATATAAAAGTTGAAAACTTGTGTCTAAAAGACACAACACCCGAAAAGTTGTGTCTTGAATAGACACAAGACGACGCTATATGTCGTGCACAGAAAATTCTAAGGAAAATAAATAAAATAATTAAATATATTTTAATAATAAAAAAATAATTGGGCCAATCCAGGCTCACGACTCGTGCTCGTGTCGAGCCGACCGAACAACGACGTGTTCGTGAGTTTTGGTCCAACCTACAGTATGCAAGTCTTCTCTACTCAAAAGATTACTGGTACTTCTTGGGGGGTACAAATCAAAGTGCTAAATTTGAGCAATATAAAATGATTTTTATTTTTCTAGTTTTTCTACGTGGGATTTGCATTTTTGAATTGTCGCCAACTTTTATTTTCATGTTATTTCAACTTCAAATGGTCATCTTTTGGCCTTAATTTCTCACTTGCTCGAGATTGATTTTGAGAAAATAAATATATTACGTTAATCTACCTGGGGAGTATAATACACTCGGCCAAAGAGATATTTCATCCAATTAATGGGACCCACTTAAATAATTGGTCAAACCAACTAACTAAAACCAATTTTCCAACCAAAGGAGGTCCTATTCAAGTTAGAGTAAAAAATCGATCTTACGTTTTAATTATTGAGTCATGTTACTAGTACAATCCCGTTTACCTGTTTGTTTAAAATCTATGACTTGTCAAACATCATATCTATTTATTTAAGAAGCTGTTTTTGAAATTGATGGTCAAGATTTTAAAAACACACATTTTGTCAAATTAGTTGTCAACAAAGGTTGTGCAACTAAGTTTATTCTTAGTTGTTATTCTTTTGCTAATTACCGCGTTTACCAAACACCTCTTAGTAAAATGAAGAATGATTCATTCACCCACGAAACCATCTTTTTGAATTTTATACTTTTTATTGTTAATCAAATTTTCGTTCCTTTTCAACTAAACTACTTGCTTACACATTAAGCTGTCTTTTACCGCTAAACTAACTTGGTGAGAGTCATTCAACTGACTTAGACTTAAAAAGTTTTAAACCCATCTAGATTCTAGATTAATAAAATTAAAATTATCTTTCAACATTTAGGTAGCTTTTGACTAATCACCCTACAGATTTGATCGGTTGTCCACCTATGAAAGCAACCATTTATTATTATTGGAAAATATCCTTTTTATTAGTTTCCATAATGCTTGTTAAAGGACGAATTTCATCTACGGTCAGACCTTTCGACAATTGAATCCTCGATTATTAGATTGAGAAAGTTTGTTTCTTTTTTATAAAAAAGGGATAGAAATACCTTTTTGGGATATTGTGAAACTTGTGCGTCAAAATCCACAGTGGTCCATCTTCTCGATGAATCCACAATGGTCCATCTTCTCGATGAAGAATCCACAGTGGTCCATCTTCTCGATGAAGAATTATTGGGGCGATTCTTTGAATTTGATTAGACATAGCCGGGCTTACGACCAACTTAATTCCTTCAATGGAAGGGCATCTATAAATTGGATAGAAAGTATTGTAACAAGAAGTCCCTTTAGCAGGCTCTAAATATGTTCCAAAATAATATATTTTTGTTAAATCTTTTGATCTACAAACAAACAAAAAATGTTAAAGATAACTTTATCTCACATCGAGGGACCAGAAGCTGCTTTGAAAGATTATACGATAGTCTTAAAAATGCATACCAATTCTTGGTAACTAAAACAAACTTGGAATGGAACATTATTGACATTTCAAAAACTTGGAATGTAATTTAGCCCATTCTTGGTGGAGTTTAAAAATTTGCTAAGAATTTAAATCAAAATAACAATTAATTTTACCTATTTATTTTACAATTTTTATCAATTTTTAAATTATATATTTCATCAATTTATATCAAAGTTAGCTTAAATATAATTTTTGACTACATCAAACAAAGACTTTATCATAATTTACGTTCATTCATTAATACTATTTGAGGTTTGACTCAGCCAGCAGAGAATGTGAAAAATTCTCCAGTCTGTGGCCATAGAAATACGGGTGGTCTTCACTAAATTATTCTATGATGTGACGTAAAAAAAATTATTTTTAATAAGACATTTTAACATTTATCAATATTTTAATCAAATATTTTATTAATTTTTATCAAAATCTATTAAAAATTTAATTTTTATCCAAACGAAACTAGGGCTTAAATCTAAATTTGGGTAATTGACACATAACATCCTTACATTTCTTGTAAAAAATGTTCATACCTTACTCATCATAATTACACACTTGATTCCACAAAACGTCATTTTCATCCATTTCCATATAATTTCTCCATTAAATGAAGATTATTCTCGTCATTTTATCATTTTTTTTCCCATTTGAACCCATTTTCTCCTCTTTTTTTCCCACATGATCATAACATTTGTTGAAAGTAGATTAATTTGATGATTTTAGGGTGGGCTGGTATCAAGATTAAGTTGTATGCCTGTATCAAAAAGTTCGAAGATAAATATTAAATATTCTTTTTATGTGTGATGATGAATGGTAACAAGATTATCAGACAAAATCAGCAGACCTTGACTAATTATAAAGGACACAGACCTCTTCAGATATTAGGTGAAGTTGGTTGCTGGCTCCTTAAACATATATATAACCTGTTGTAGTGCTGTCAATGCTACAATAGCAGGCTCATCATCTGCCCTGAGCTAACTTCTGCATGACTCGGTAGTTGTCCCTCTCTTTCTCATTTGAACCCGTTTGCTAGCTGAGAGACTAGTCAAATGTGTAGGTGGAGAAGTTGATTTTGGCAACAGACTCTGTAAATAAAATTTGCTAGATTTTTTGTGTAATTGATTTTCCTTCAAAATTGATGGTCGGTAGGTTCAAATAGGGAAGAAAGAGGAAAATTGACTAGAATAACCGTTACTTGACGAAGTAATTGGATGGAAATGAATGTAAAAGATATTTTGTCGAATCAAATGTATAATTAAGAATGAAAATATATAAAATGAAAGATAAGGGCATGTTTCACAATAATAGTGAACGATTGGAGTTTATGTGTCAATTACCCATCTGAATTTATTCAAAGCTACAAGATTTTCGTACTAGTACTGGACTACTAATATATATATGAATAAAATTATTTGTACCGAATTGTTCATATCGAAAATGTTACACCCTCTCACATGTGCGCGAGGTCCGCATGAATAAAAAAATTCCAAAAATGTGATCCCCATACCCTATCGTGAGTGTAGGTAAAATATTAGTTAAAAAAATTACGTAGTATTGGCCCATGTGTGTATATATACACACACAAACACACATACAAGTACCTTAAAGTATCAGAACCCAAAAGTTGTAGAGTGAAAAAGAAAAGAAAGAAACCAAGATTTAAGCTTCAAAACAGTCATGGAGTTCCATTTTCTGATAAAAGCGTTCTTTTCTGGCGCATTGGTTGGTGTTTTGGGACTGTTTTTCCATCTGTATAATACCCTGGTCGCGAAGCCGGAGAGGCTGCGTTCCGCCCTTAAAAGGCAAGGAGTGAGCGGCCCGCGTCCGACTCTTCTTCTTGGAAACATTTTGGAGATAAAAAAGGCAAGAGATTCTGCAGCAAAGGCTTCTACCAATGGCGCTCCAGCCTCGCACAACTGTGGGGGTACTCTTCTTCCTTTTTTTGACAAATGGAGGCAGCAATACGGTATGAACTCTGTTACGTTCTCATAAAAATTAGATTTTTAATTGATTTGGATAAAAGTTAGTGAAATGCTTGGGTGATAAAATTTGTGTCACCCATTAAAAATGTGATTGAAAATGAATATGGAGTAAAATGAGTTTTAAGAAAGAATACCAATCCAGCGCACTAATTCACATAATTTCACTATTGATTGAACCTATACCTATTGTCATGTATGAAAGTTACTCGTTCCACCCTAAAATCACCTAATATGTGAATAACACGGATTATACTTACCAATTAAAAGCAACAATTCACTTTTTAATTGTTCCAGATGTTTAGTTAATCCAGTCAATTTTATCATACGTTGAATTGCCAAAATAGTAATTAAAACAGTAAATAACACAATATGTGTCGACGGAAAAAACTTTTAATATGGTAAAAACTCCGGACCAAGCCAGTAGTTTCCACTATAAATAGTAAGAACTTAAAGAATGATCCAACCTAGAAAATGGCATGCTTATCTAATTCCCGCAATCACCAAGACCCGTTTCACTTATTCTTGCTCCCAATCTTTTGCAATTGTCTATCTTCTTGTGCTTCTATAACAACCCTCAATCTTCAATAACCTTTGAAAGATATCGAGAAAGTACCTTCTTGATTATATCTCAGAAGTTGGTGTTTTGGATTATTTGTCTTTGATGTTTTTCCCAACTCGTAATTGATTGATCTCAAAAATTAAAGGGTTAATCTCAATGTCTGGATGTGTTCTTAGATCTTGGATCGATGTTATGAGAATGTAAAATAATGATCAACCACCACCAAAAACTTGACTTTTACAAAAGACTCTTTCTCCTTGTTCCACACTCGAATCCAAGGACTCCTAGTTCATCTATACAACCCTCCAAAAGATTCCTTGACTTTTACAATTCTTTTATAGCAATCTTACTTTTTTATAATAATTCTTTTGTATAAAGAATTGCCAATACAACTAAAAACCTAACAATATAGACTAGTGCTAAATAGTATTATTCTTTAAGAAATAGGGGCACTATCCAATATTATGTACCAAACGTTCACTTTAGCGGTCCCTCATATAACTTGAACAAAAATGAAACTCCATGTTTTTTCGATCTCTATGGATATGCAGGCGACGTGTTTATGTTTTCGCTTGGGAATGCACAAATAGTGCATGTGACTCAACCGGACATGGTGAGGGAGATTACTACTTGTACATCTTTGGATTTGGGGAAGCCAACATATCAAGCAAAAGAGAGGGGTTCATTGCTAGGCCAAGGCATTCTCACTTCTAATGGCACCATTTGGGCTCATCAGAGGAAGATTCTTGCTCCTGAATTATACATGGAAAAGGTCAAGGTATATAATTTTATACTGTAGTATTTGTCGTGGAATTTTTTCGATCCAAAATGAACATAGCTCTCGCATTAGGCTATGAACCACTATAAATCTAATCTTTATGTGTGCTCTGAATTTTATTGTTTGTTTATTATTGCCCTCTTAAGTAATACGTAACAATTAATAATGACATCTCTACCTATTTTTACACATTCAGGGCATGATAACTTTGGTTCAAGAGTCGACGATCACATTATTGAACTCTTGGAACAATATAGTTGAGGAGGAGGGTGGCCTGGCGGACATCAATATTGATAAGCACATGAGAAGATTTTCCGGAGATGTAATATCCAGAGCTTGTTTTGGGAGCAACTATTCCGAAGGAGAGGAAATTTTCTTGAGGCTTAGGGCCCTCCAAGAAGCTGCATCAAAGAAACTTTTGGCTGTAGGAATACCAGGCATGAGGTATATACAAGTACTTAATCATCAAGTAGATCACAATTCCAATGCGTTTAGGCCTGTTTAGTACACTCGACTCAATAACTGTCATATAGAATCATGTTTGGCTAAGCATAAAAATAAGTATTATGTGTGAGTAATTTTTTGTTTCCATTTTTTCTTTTAAAAAAAGGGAGGTATTTTTCAATACATTTATGGTTTGTTTCTCTGCCAATGTTTCTTTCTACCAAATTGTTGAACCCTTGATCTCAACGGTGAGAAATACAATCCCGAACCAACTGGACCAGTGATTAATTTTTTATTTCCAAACATATATTTGGTTAAGTTACTTTTTTCTACTTTTAAACAAAAAAGTTAAATATTTTTCAGAATTCTTAAAGTCTTGTCCAGTTTACAGTACAAATCATGTCACAGAAAATCGAAATTTATTTAAGTTGGAGAATTTTTACAGGCATCTTCCTATAAAGAGCAATAGGGAAGCATGGGCATTGGAGAAAGAGGTCAAGACATTGATATTGAATGTAGTGAAGGAAAGAAAAGAAGTTGGATATGAGAGAGATTTATTGCAAATGGTTCTTGAAGGGGCAAAAAACAGTGATTTAAGCCAAGATTCAATTGATCGTTTCATTGTTGACAATTGCAAAAACATTTACTTGGCTGGGTACGAGACCACGGCAGTTTCTGCTTCATGGTGCCTCATGCTATTGGCTTCTCATCCGCATTGGCAAGATCGGATTCGTGCTGAGGTTCAAGAAATCTGCAAGGGCCGAAATCCCGATGCTGATATGATTCGGAAAATGAAACAGGTAAATCTCGTCGATGTCCATTTATAATATTGAAGGGAGGGTTAAATAAATGTGTTCCTTGTGTAAAATTTAACTTTTAGATGAAGTAGTTCAACGTTCACCTTAGTAAATATTACAAGTCGATCTTTTACATAAATTGTGAAGTTGAGCACATATGACTAAGTAACCCACCCCTAAGCTTGTAGGTGTTTGAAGTTCTAAGGTAGGGATGACAAAATATCGTAGCCCCGCTCTGTATGTTATTTTTATTGTGTGGAAGTGAAATTTTTTTTTTTATGGATACGTATGATAACTATGATTTTATGGATTCATATGGAATTTTGTGGTCCAACACGTGATTAAGTTGTCCATACCTAACCTGAAACGGACTAAATTCACATGAACGAGTCTTTATGGTAGGGTAATCCAAGAAGGACGACCATAACTCCTCTCTTTGCAGTTTTTTCTAACACTCCAATCCATTCAATCTTGCAGTTAACCATGGCAATCAACGAGTCCTTACGCCTCTACCCTCCTGTGGCTGTCGTATCAAGGGAGGCCTTAACCGACATGAAATTCGGAGACCTTAACATCCCCAAAGGTGTTAATCTATGGACAATGGTGACAACATTACACACTGATCCGGACAATTGGGGACCTGATTCCTACCAATTCAATCCAGAAAGGTTTGCAAATGGACTTACTGGAGCTTGCAAATTTCCGCACTTGTACATGCCATTTGGGGTTGGACCAAGGGTGTGTCTAGGCCAGAATTTAGCCTTGGTTGAACTCAAAATACTTATATCTCTAATTTTGTCTAAATTTTCATTCACTTTGTCCCCTAAATACATTCATTCACCAGCACTCAATTTGGTTATTGAGCCTGGCCATGGAGTTAATCTGTTGGTGCAGAAGTTGTGATTTTTTTTTCTTTTTTCAATATATAGAGGGCTTCCTATTCCTGTTGCTACAATAGATGCTTTGTAATTTTCTTTGATACATTTGTCAATTTATAAGGTAAAATGAATAGTGGTGATCGTTCAACTTTTATTGAAATTTGATGTTGGTCAGCGAACTTTATTTTCTTTTGATTTGTTAATTTCACGTCATATTATTTAGATATCTACTGACGTTGGCATTTTTCCGAACTATAAAAGACTGGTATCATTGGTTAACTCGAAATATGATCATGCATAGCATGACGAAGGCATAAGAAAAATAAGGATCTTGCTACAATATTTATATAAGAAATTATATAATGTCAGATGACACTCTACCATTTACTAATTTAAAATTCATTTAATTTTTTCCCTCCACGTCATTTTCGGTAATTGCTTACCATTTTGAAGTGCAAATAGCAAAATCATCATAATATAGATTAATTTATCTTCAGTTTTTGGACTAGTCAAATTTTCTGCATCACATTTATATTGGCTGGAAACTAAATTGTATATATTTTATAAAAAAATTCAGATTAGTAAATAATCCACCTCCGTGTAATTTGAGAAAAGAAGAAGAAGTAGTAGTAGTAGAAGAAAGAAAATTCTATTTGTTTCGGGCTACTAGTAAAAATTTGAAAGAAAATATCTAGGGTGATCAAAACATGTCACTCTCAAAACCCGAGTGACCCGACTTATCAAAACCTAACCCAATAATGCCTATCTAGGTGTTTTTGTCAAGAGCCATGCTACAGTATCGTGGGCCCCACCCCCACTCACATTATGTAACCTTCTGTGTGTACATCTATGTACACATAGATTAATCCTTTTGTCAATACCAAACAATTTAAAAATATATATATCTAGAGGTGTCAAAATGTGTGTCAAAATGTGTTGTACAGTACAAATTTAGAAAGTTTGACACAACTAATATTTAGGTTACCTATCCACTTAGTGCAATGTGATATCTAGTGAGTAATATGTATTCATGCTGGACCTTCTATTAGGTAACAATCATAAATGTAAGTTTAACATATTAGTATGCACGTGCACTGTGTTCCTCTTAACAGGTGTGATGTTTCATTTAAGTTTATATCTACCTAAGGGGTTTGTTGGCAAAGCATTTAGAATATTTATGACACGATAGTTAACATAGTATTGAATATCATACAAAATAATGGTATTTAGCCCCATTAATGTTATAATACCAATCTTTGTGCAATTTTCTGATGTGTTTAATTAAATGGAAAATTATGTAACTCATTTACTATTACAGTGTCACTAGACTGATAATGATTCTAAATAGCATTACTCTATTATATGTGATAGTACTTGTACCCACATAGGATTATGACATGGTTCTCGTAATTGATGTTGAGATAAGAAATATTGACAAAAATCAATTGAGCATTGAGCTCTAGATCAGAAGTTCACAATTGCACATCGATAATTATATATTGAGCTCATGTTTGGATGTGAAGACGTGATTAGCTAAATCAACGTATTGAATTAGAAAGACCAACAAAAAATATACAAAAAGATGGAATACGAGGGAAATTTCTCGAGTTCACTCGTGCATAAAAGTTAGTGCAATTTATAATCACTTGCTCTACATGTTCAAGTATGAACCCTAAAACTATATTAATTTGAGAATGTTTCACACAAATCCGGTTTACAAAATTAAAAATAAATAAATAAATAAAAGAGAGCGCTCTAATCTCCCTACAGAGTATGAAGATTATTAATCCCTACAAAATCTGTAAAGAAGAACTCTTTGGGAATAAGGAAAAAGCAGAAGGAATAAATTCATTTTGTTATTCTTGCACCAGTGTAACCATGGTAACATCATTGCCCACGTGTCATATTATATTAGCTCATTTAGAATACTCATGACAAGATAGCTAACGTTGTATTGGTTATCATACACGATATTACATATACCCATGTCGAATTTTGTCGTGGTTCGTATACTACATGTTGGAACAATAAATTCTGGCAAAAATCAATTGGGTATTGAGCTCCAGATCAAACGCTCACGATTGAATATCGATAAAAACTGAGCTCGTGTTTGGATGAGAAGATGTGATTAGATAAATAAATGTCATGAGCTAGAAATGTCGACTTAAAATATACAAAAAGTCATGAACAAACAAAATTTCTCGAGTCCAATCACACATAAAATTAGAGCAGTCATAATCACATACTCTAGATGATCAAGTATGAACCCTTAAACTGTACTAATGTGAGAATGTTTTACTCGAATCTGTTTTACAAAATTTAAAATAAATAAATAAATAAAAGAAAGCCCTCTAATAAATCCATTTTGTTATTCTTGCACCATTATTATAACCATGGTAATATCATAGCTGACGTGTCACTATTCTATTAGTTCATGTACCAATTTATTAGACAAATTATATCTATCACCAATAGTACTAAAACACCAATGTAATTGACACTAAGTAATATGTTCAATAAATGTAGGAATATAAGCACTTGTTTGATACCCATTAATTTATATTATCTTTTGTTAAATGATCATTTTCAACCACACGTTCACGTAATAAAATATTTACACATAAAATCAAAATGTTTTCCTAATTTTTAA